TGGGAAGGAGCTGAAATGCTAGTGGTTAAGACATCAGCTTGTTTTTGTCTTTGCAGACTCCAGAAACTCTTGCAGAGTGACCTTCATGACAAGGCATAAGATATTGGTTGAATTCAAATAAAGTTTCTCACAAATACAAAGAAGTAGTAATATTTGGTGCAGAGAGGCAGATTTATTTTACCTAATCTGTTTTCTGTAAGGGCACTACAAGACGTGTATGTGCAGCTTTGTAACGTCCCTCCCTGAACAAATCTTTTAAGAAATCTTGCCATGGAACCTGGGTGGTGAAACAAAAACTAAACCCACTTCACATCCATCTCTTTCAGCTAATAGCCTCTTCTCTCTCAGACAAACATCAGCTATTTGCATCTGTGATCTCACTGAGAAGCACAGCAAGAAAAATAATGAATTGTGTGGATTGCACAGGGGGGAGCAGCCCTGAAACATTCCTAAAATACACAGGCAGAGTTGCACTCACCATTGGCTGCATACCAATTGCATATTGGTGCAGGAAACTAAAAGGCCAAATGCATCCAACAACCAAGTGCAGTCCTCTCAAAACTGTCCAACATGCTGTTTGAGGTGCTGGACACTACGTAGTACCCATTTGGCCCTATCAAAAGACTGCCATCAACTTCAATAAGTTGGGGACAAGGCCACATAAGAAACACTATAATTTGTTAATTTTACACTCTCCATGCAAGTGTTCAGATTTTTTTCCTCTTTGAAGCTGATCTATTTGGGGTTTACTATTAATGGCTACTTATTATTTGACAAACCTCCACATTCACTCTGCATCTCTGCCAAGTTTCAGTATCTGGGAGTGGGGAGATTATGGAAGTCTGCTTATATCAACTGGTAACAGTTAAATATGTTTAATACAATAAATGTAACATCTTGAGTAGTTCCAAGTCATACAGTGGTTGATTTATATTTTTTTACACAAACATCTTTATTCACCAGAGTCCCGATATAGGATGCTAAATGGGATGGAGACCTCAAATGACAGCAGACATGCAAAGAACTTAGGGGGCTACTGTACGAGTTAAATTGCAAATGTACCATTTCTCATAGGTTCTTTTTACAATTCTGGAGTTGGGATTCAAACAAATCCCAATTAAAAACATGGCAAATTTCATGTTAACCATGTAAACTGGCTGTACAGACAACAGATGGATGGACTCCTAGCAAGACCACAAATCATCTGAAGTCCCCAAACTATGCAGTAATTAAAAAATGGAAGAGATCCAAGTATGCTATGGATGGATTATGTGACAATGGGCTCTTGGGCTCTTTCCAGAAAAGTTCCCCCCATTTATTTTCCAGTCCTTCAACTAAAGGGTATTCAAGATCAGCACAGTGTAAAGAAGAGTATAAATTTACAGGAAAAGGAAGTTTGTTGTTTCCATTGACAAAAATAACTTGATTTTCTTAATAACCACCTCTTAATTACAGGTTAAATGAAAACAACAGCTCACAGGGACAGATGTTAAAACTGCTTTCCCCTTCAAAAGGAGAATAGGGGAGGTATTCATTTATAACTTAAAATAAGTGAAGAGTAAATCAAATAGCAAATCTTTTTGAAATCTTTCAGACTAGGGAGGTATAACAGGTGCTTGCTAAGCCCATACTGTAGAAGGGTGAAGTGAACCATTATTACTTTGTTTTTCCAGGTGGTGTTCAAGGTTCCCAAAACCAACATTTATTTTATTCACTCAGCCTTTGGTACTAGCAATTAGCCCAATCTTGTGCTTTGACCCCACCCACCTCAAGCTTGTAGTAATGCCATTTCTGTTAAATTTTTGCCCAGAAGATCTCCAGCTCATTGCCTGCATATACCAGCACAGTCTCCAACACAGACTAAAGAAAAAGGGAAAGTACTAAAGCACATCTCTCTAGTCAAGTATTTTTTAAGATTATCATTTAAGGTGGGATCTGAACCAATCACATCCTCATCTAGTTTGTAGCACATACTAAGTTAAAATGTCCCAAGAACGAACAAGCAAGCTGTAATAGGTTTACTGTTTTAACCAGGTCTTCAAAAATGTTTTTCAAACCCCTCCTAAACAAACACCTGACTTGACAAGGGAAATGCCAAATTTATTCTGAAAAGTAGCACAAGCTAAAGCATGGTCTATGTTAAATTAGTGCATTATTTTTTACCTACTACTCTAGCAGACATCAAGTTTCTCTCTAAAGATCTAATTTCCCATTAAAATCAACTTGATAAATTTAGAGACAGGGTTACTCATACATATTTCTAATCACCAACACTAAAAAGCCAACAAAGTTTAAGCAATGATATTCACACATTGAGTTGAGTCAGGTTAGTATTTTACAGATGGAAACTGAAGCACAGGAAAGGGTAAACAACTTGCCCAAAGTTAACAGCTTATACATGGCAGTGGCAAGGACACAAACTGCTTCCATTAAGTGAAAGACTTGAATTTTACTTATTATACTACTGGTTTTCACTCAGTGGTTTGAGGACCCCTGGGGGACCGCAGACTACACCCAAGGGGTCTGTGAAAGATGATTATGTTTAATTAAACGTATGTGAATACCCACACTTACAATTCAAAGGGGTCCCGCACCTCCATTCAAAATTTTTGGGGGTCTGCAAATGAAAAAAAGTTGAAAACTACTGCATTTTACCATAATAACTACCTGCCCAAATTCAATGGCTAGTTTAATGAGTTTGAAAATTCTGAACCAACATTAAAATTTTATTTTAAACAAGGATTTAAAATAATGTATGTGCTCAAATATAAGATGATTCTAATGATAAGTCAATCCCTCGTAATTAGATTCTATATATGGAAAGTTCAGGAATTTGGTAATTTTCCAGGTATAGAATCTAATGAACAGAGGTCTTGCATTTGTCCCATTGCTACATCAGGGAAAATAATTATGGAGGATCAGGTAGCCCCTATGCCCTCTGGCTTTCCAACTTCTTCCCCCCCATCCTTACATAGTGCCAAACCCTGCTCTCCCTTCACACATGAAAGTGATGAGCAAATTTGAAAAAAAAATCTTGAAATAAACATAACTGTAATAATTTGCACATAGTACCCATAGACTGTTCGTCCAGAATTGATACATTTTACCTTTTTTTGAAACTGCTGCAAGATTTAGCACAGGTACTCCATAAACACACTTTTAAGTAGCACTTTGGCACCTACTTACATATAGTACAAACTATGCATGATATTGGTTCAAAACCCAGAGACTCATGATTTACTATATATATAGTTCATTGGGCTAAGCCCCAGCAGAGTCGAGAGCATTTCAGGCCATATGTAGACCCCACTGCTCAGCAATGTTCAGTCTGTATGTGTATGTACTCCAGAAACCCTCCCCACAAAGGATCCATGGTGCTAACTGGGTGTTCTTGTCATGAGTTATGCGATCCTCCAAAAATTATATGCAGATGAAGCACACAGCAACCTGGTCCAGTTTCACCTCATGGTACGTGGGGCCACAATCATCATATGCAACAGGCTGGGAGGGATTCTGGATGAACTGTTTGGGGCCTCGTTTGGTGATGTTTGCCCAATATTTAAGGATGGTAAAGAAACATGAATCATTGGAAATGGGAAAGAAAGATGCAGCTCAGGTGTAGGAGTGAAGAAGTCAAAATCTATTCAATGTAGTGGCTCACCATGACTTGAAAGAGTTAATGCTGAGAGGAACTATGCTCAACGTGCACTACTATACATCTTATTCAAATGGGCTGAACTACCTAGCCATATGGTAGGTTCCCATCAGCATATTAAATGCAGAAATTAAGGCACCAAGGGGAGGATTGTTAGGGCTGGCTCTGGCCTTCCCTATGCTGGCCTGTGGAAGAAACACCTGCCCATTTTTTTTTTCTTAAGGCTCCCTCCTCCCCCTCCAAAAAAAAAGTTCCCATCAGCATGTTTGTGCAATACGGGCCATGTACTTTGTAGTCATGCTTAGCATTGGCTGCATTTCATCAAGGTCATAGTTGGTTATGAAGAATGTGTGTATCTGGAATCAGGCTCCTCAGTCACCTGAGGACCCATCAAGCCTGACAGACACCATCCTTGACTCCGAGGGACTGCTGATGACAATTGGTTACCATTACTGAGCACATGGTGCTTTAGCAAAAGTTCAAACATAGATAGTGTATTTAATGAAGTTTCCTCGAATATGAATGTAAGACAAGGGATTTTTCCCCCAATGCTGATTAGGGATGAAACCTAATTTTGTATTCAAGCAAATACAATTAATTCAGAGCTTCATTTACATAAAAGGAAATTTTGAAAATTTGGGAGTAAAATCTTGCCTTTTATCTTTATTCCCTTTCTAATGCTCTCATTTTGTATTTGGACTTCAAGCTGAAGTTTTTAGGGGGGGGGGGCGGGGGAATCCTGTATGTGACCTGGGGTAGCATCATCATCAAATGTTCAAATGTTTATGGTTTTTCAGCAGAAAAATGTTTTTCTTTTTCTTTAAAAAACACGTAACATTTAGCTTCCAGAATCTCCCAATCCTGTAAATTGAAGGGTTTTTTTAGAGCAACATTGCTTATACTGAAACATGCATACAAACAAAATTTCCTATAGAAGTACATGACTTTTTGCTGCTCTAACACATTGTTTTAAAAAAGCATTACTTTAAATTATACTACAAATCAATGGCTAAGTCTTACAAGCTAAACTACATGCAAAAAACAAGTTTAAAGGAGGTAATAACAATTTTCATTTCACCAACACTGATTGTGTTCCTTTACTATTACTACAAGTACTTTAGAATAGCCATTAATATTTTGAATATTCAAAGTAAAAGGGAATTTTAGGACTGGTTTAAATGACCACTGGATGTCACTGTTGCTTTAAAAAAAATTAACACTAAGACCTCAAATGATAGCAATTTGGAAACAGTACCCACACCATTCAGTTAATCTCTAACAAACATTTGTGTGCCAGTGTGGATTACCAGAATTGTCAGAAATAAATTTACAGCCATTTGTTTTCACTACACAAGAAGTTTATTATGAAAGTAAGTTAAACATACAACACAAAAGTAGCAAAAGCAATCCTGTAGCTTAAGGCAACTCTTAGAGGAGATGAATTCAAGAAAGATGATGCAACTTCTGTTTAAATAGAAATTATGAAAAATATCAAATTGCATCAATAACTTAAAACACACTTTAAAAAGTCTGCTCTAACCAGAAGAGGGTAAGGGCTTGTGATCTTAATGCCAGCATTAAGATATAGTAAGCAGCACAATGCTAAATGATGATAGGGAAAGTTCAGTATTTACACAGAGTAATGTTAATATCCGATAGCATAATTTTCTGTGTACTTATGGTTTAAAAAACACAATCCAAAACCATTAGGAAAATTATGTAAAATAAATATTCAGACTACTGCATCAAAATTACACAGAATGCAGAAAGGAACCAGGATAGTGCTAGGACTGTATGTATGTTACAGAAACTTCCTAGAAAAAAAAGGTTATTTGGGGAAGGGGGAAAAAAAAACACCTGGGTGGGCCAAAAGCCACATTGAAGCTGATCTTCAGATTACCCATAGCTAAATCAATGCATCCAAATATTTTCACCTGATGTTCCCACAGCCTCCTTTTCAAAATTGTTTACCAAACAGCTTCAGCATTTTAATATTAAGCAATTACTTCACATGACAAAATTCAAACGACTAAAAGTTAGAAAGAAAATAGATGCAAACAAAACCAAATGGCAGTACTTTTCAAACTGTTATGTTAGTAATGAAGTTAATGGAAATTAGGAGTAAGCCCTTTACAAAGTCATTCATTCACACAAGTAAATTCATTTCAAATCTTACCCTGGTGGAAAACATTACTGTGTAACTTTGCTTTATTTGTAGAAGATTTAATAAAAGAAAGTGGGTTATATGCACAATGAATTTTTCTGTACACAACCACTGATCTCTTTCATCATTCAGCATAATTTTACAAAAAGCATAAAGTATAAAATACATTTAAAGCAGCTATCTTAAACATGATTTAATACACATCATATTTGCAGCTGATCACTTTGTCCCCAGTTTAACATGCTGTCAAATTTAATCATGAAGTTGCAATATTCCATTTTAGAACTATTAAAAAAAAATCCCTGAATAAAACAGAAGCCAGCCTGCAACTTCCTGAAAGTTTCAGTAGAGTACTATATACAGGGGCACATTAACCCCCAAACTCATTTTGCACTGAAATAAAACCTAGAATAGGTCCTGGGACAGAATGTACTAGGACATAAAAATATATATATATTTTAAAATTAACATTTAAAAATATGGAACCAATGAGTTGTTAGCAGTTAAAAGAATACTGCAACTTGAACAATCAAAAACAAATGTTAGAAAATTGATTGACAGCTCTGTGCTACTGGGCTTAACTTGTTAATAATGTAAAAAAAAGTCATCAGTCTTTAAAAAGTCTTGCAAATCCACAAAAAAAGAAAACTGCAAAAAAGATAAGAATGCATATCTAAAAGCAGGAGCACAATAATGACAAATGAAACTTCCAAAAGCCCATATAAAAAAAAATCAAGTTTGGAATGCACTGGCTTCCAGCAATTTACAAAAAACAAAACAAATTGTAATCTGCAATATCTTGACCTATTTTTAAGTGACAATTTATTACAGTTGAGAAAAATGGTTTTATAGCTGCATAAGTTTCCATTTCACTAAGATAGTGCCAACAAAAATAAGTTTGCATAGAAAAACAAAATCTCAAATTGCCACTGGCTACATGCTTAAAATGGGAAATGCAGGTATTGTAACATAAACATAGTGCAAACCATGGCAGTTCATGATGTTTGTGACTGCCGCCGGTCAGGAAATAGACCATAGTATACCGAGTTATCACAGTTTCTGGTCTTTTATTCAATACTTTGCCAAGTATAAGCAATGCATATACACAGACCCATGGCATGTCTGCTGCTGCTGTTGATTAACGTAGCTTGAGGTCATCACCACTTCCTAGGTTAGATCCAGGACTAGGGTCTTGCTGTCTTCTTGCCTGTGTTAACAAACATGTGTTTAGAATAATACATATGATTTGGGAACAGCACATTTAACAATTCAACTAAAGCAATAAAACCATGCAATTCCAAGGCAAAAAGGTCAACACTTCAAACAGTATTAGATCAAGCATATTTAATGTTCCAAAATACCCCTCTGTACCTACCCCCACCTTATGCTTGCAGAAGGGGAACTGACAAAAGCCTCCCAAGATAGCTGCAGAAGCTGAGTTCTCTGACTTTCTGGCTTCCCCTCCCCAGTTCTGGAGCCATCACAGCAGCCTCCAGGCACTCAATTTCTCCCCCATGGATTTGGAGTTGGCAATTCAGAATTTCCCAGCTACCTGGTTTCCAGAGCTGGCAAGTTTTGTCCAGGCTTTGCACCTCTCTTGCAGCTGGGCTGGAAGGCTTGTCAAGTTCAGTTTCTGCCAACTGACTGGAGCCTTCCAGGAGAGCAGCAGGGAAGCTAAAAATTCTGCCTTGGTTCTCCCAAAACAGAATTCTTCTCAAAACCCTTTCCTGTTGAACAATTGTCTAAGGACTTATTGGATGGGAGCCCTATGCTGTAAGTATATAGTACAACAGCACAGTCTACACAAAAAGGCAGAAATATATTGTCATTATTCCTAAATAAATCCACCTGAAACATGTTAGACTGACAGACATTTAACACAATCTATTTTTTGTAGTGAAGAACTTCAATACATATAATGAAATAATAATGTACTCATTAACGTTATACCTACAGTTTTTTTGTTCATTTGTTTTTACCCTCAAACTAATCTCAGTTTTGGCCACTTTCAAACCATAAACAAAAACAGCTCGCTCACATGGAAAAATATTACTGAAGAGAAAAAAAGAAAAAAAAAAAAAACAATAAATGAAGATGGTGAAGTATCCTATTTTCTCAGGTGTGTCCTCAAGATCATACTGGTGAATACGTTTTCATTTATGTTAATAAAAAAAGCAAATTAAGAACCAAGTGCTTTATTATGCAAAAATTATGTAGATGCAGGTGTGACAAAAAAGTCTATGGATTAAGTCTGTATTTATAATCTTAACTACAAATTATAAACATGCCAACAAAAGTCAGAGTTG